CTAGACACTCTGGAGACGTTGAAATAATTTTATCTGTTCCTAAAGAAAATCTTGGACGATAGGATGTTTGTCTGAAAGCTGGTAGAATATTACAATATTTTATGTAAAAACAAGTGAAAATTTTATATATAACCTTATATAAAATTTCATCACCTAAGACTCGACTGCGAGATAATGCCTTAGGCATTTAGTCCGCTTATGTACATAACGTGCATGAAGATTAAATAAATAAAAAAAAGTTATGTAGGTATGTTATATAGACGACTTCTTAGTCCTTTTGCGGTTACAAGTTTCCAAGAGTACGTTGATTGGTTACCTACCATAAGGTAATTCGTTTTGGAGGATTGTAATTGGCTATTTGGTTTTTCAAAAGTTTCATACGAGTTAGACGTAAGTAAAAAGGTTGCAAAATTCAGTGTAGGTTTAAATCGAAAATATTGAAATTGTTATTTTATTAGACAAACACAAAATAATATTTACTCGCGATAAATAAACCGCCGTCTTAAATTCTAAAATCAAACAAATTCTAAACCACTTTTCGTTTTGTTAAATAACGTTTTTGTTTTATGTAGAGCAAAGAATTTCACGCAAAATGCCTTTCAATACTGGATCCTTTGTGCATATTTGGATGGGCGTCCAGATTCTATCCATGTAAAAAACAAACCGATTGCGCTCTGTCCCTATCAAAGTCGATTGACGGATTGAAATTTACAAAAAAGGACAAAGAAAGTAAATACTTTTTAAATATAAAGTTGAAGAAGAAGCCGCGTTAAAATTATATTTTACATAGTCTTTGTCGCTTACTTTCGTATTTTTTGAAATATGCTGTATACTTAGATACGATAGGCAAAATACAAGTTAATATAATACAAGTCCCGGGTGCCTGTCCCATTAATTGTTTGGCAGACGTGCAAACGTATTACCTGATGGTAAGCAATCAGCGTCGCCCATAGACACCCGCAACGACGGAGGAGTTACGAGTGCTTTGTCGACCTTTTTGATTTGAAGATTTTGGGAAAGGGAACGTATTGGAGTCGTGGAGAGATTGGGCCTCCGGTAACCTCACTCTCACGGCGAAACACAACTCTTTGGTTTGTTGTCAAATGTATGTTACTGAATTTATTGTATTAATTAATTAAGGAAACTGGTGCCAATTTTATATTTTTATAAATATCGTGTGCTATATTGATGTGGATGTGCCTATTGATTTTCAATGATGATAATATTTTAAATGCTATTGAAATATAACGACCAAACAGGTCGTTGGACAAATTAGAGAATCAACGTCAATATCAACACGTATGTTTTTTTACGGCCACTTTAAATATCTGATAAAAATATCGATTTATACAGCTTTTGCCAGCATTGTACTTAGCTTGGAAATTAGCTGTGTGTCTTTCTTATAAAAATGCATAACTGATAACTTAAAATAAGGGTGGTACCTACTTAGTTGATTCAACTGGATTACGGGTCAAGCACAATTATGTCCCGTAGCCTTAACCTGGAGTAGGAGAAGAACGGGATTGTCTTCAGCCAGTAAGTCTAATACTTCCTTCGTCACATCCACAGCAGGAGAATACTTATACAATAGTTTTCCAGCCTCGAAAAACAAAATGGATTCAAAAACTTTTAATTAATTAGTTTAGGTACAAAGCAAAATATATTAGATAATTTTGTCACATAAACTGTTTACATTATCTACACAGAATCTAGATTAATCGAATCGACATATTAAGCCAAGGTTTTAGTTCAAACCCGTTGAAATATCCAAAATGTTATTTTACACAATTTTGTCTGGACATAAAACTAATAGGTTACAATTAAAATGATAATCCCGTCAGTAATTCGGTATGAATTTCAGGGATTTCAGAGCCTGCTTAAATTGTTTTAGTAAATTATGAACATAATTGTTTGAAACATTTAGAAAATTTTTCTGTTTACATTAATGTTTTAGCTAGATTATGTGATACACATATTATATAGGCCATAATCTTTTTTTGGTTTAATTTGTCATTGTAACAATTTGTGTATTTAATGTATATAGATTTTTTTTAACACTAACGTTACAAGTATAAAATATGAGATGTAGAATTCAACGTTCCAGTCTGGGAATAGACAATAGTTATTTTTATTGTAACAAAATGTCGCCACACGATTTTCTCTTGTTTCGTAGGTGCGTTCAATAATAAATACATTTATTAAAAAAAACCCACAAGCAGCTGTGCTGGGAAATGTGATGTGAATTGTGACACACACATAAACACATCATCAGCTTATAGGTTCCCATTGTTGAACAAAGGCCTTTTCCCACTGGGAAGTGGCGCATTGAGCATTACAAGGTCACGTCAGTATGAACCAGGACATCACGCCTGCCCTGCAGTGAAATAATAATTCGGAAATTGTACATAGGAAAACCCACTACTCTCCGGTTTGCATGTAAAAACCTAAACTAAGTTATAAAATAACTTCTTTATTTTCTTTTATATACCCTATTGTGTGTCCCACTGCTGGGCAAAGGCCTCCCCTTTTTCTTCCAAACTTCTCTGTCTAAAGCGATCTCCGGCCAAGTTTGACCCGCGAACATGATCAGATCGTCACACCACCTTCGCCGTGACCGACCTCGACGGCGTCGACCTCCTTCAGGTGTTCAGTGAGTGACAACCTTCGCCCATCTGTCCGGGTGCATTCGTGCGACGTGGTCAGCCCACTTCCACTTTAGCCTGGCTATTTTTCTCCGACATCTGCTATTTGAGTTGTGGATTTATAGACCTTTATAGATTTCAAAATTTCAATTCCTCTTTTACATAAGTGAACGCTAATCGCTATACAATTTATCTTAAAATCTTCGGAGGTCCACTTTAGGTGATTTCCATAATATTTAGATTGTTTACCCGCCGGTATTAGGAACGGAATTATTTCGATTTGGTTACCATTAGGGACTTATTTAGTTATCCCAGGGATATCGTTTTAGTTCTAAGCTTAGGGATAAGCCTAATAACGTCTAGAAAATGCTTTTATGAGCAAAATGAAACTGTTATTGTGCCATGGTACAATTTTTTTTGGTTAAACGTGTAATAAATTATCCGGAGCTTAATTTTTAACGAGTATAATTGTCTGATTTCTGGATATGTTTTACTTGTTCTGTGGAGGGATAGTCATTAAATGAGTTTACTCGCCCAGGGTATGGCGAGATGGAGCTTTAGACTCTTACTGACTACCGTCGTTCCATCTCCAGCTCTGGGCCAAGACTGCGGTGCCATAGTACGCTTGACCCGCGACCCCTATATTAATATACTCGGCCTTACGGAAAGTCCGAAAAAGTGCAAGCAATAAGTGTTAGCTTGCCATCAGATTGCTTTCCTTACGACGACACTCAGCCCTTAGTTTCACGAAGACGGATATTCAGCTAGGGTAGCGATTAAACAGATCGGCGCAGGCCAAGGAACGGAGTGGCGTTATTGTCATTAAGAATCTGAAACCACTTTATCTTACCCAGGGTCAGAAAAGAAGAAGTTAACGTATTTCGGTCTACTTATTGTCTTTTTCGATAATCAAAATTCTCATTTAACCAAAATCAAGTTCTGGCGTATATACAATAGTTGACTTCCGACCCTTTTATTAGATAGATTTTAACACAGCGGGCAAAAAAATTATGTATCACTTAGTACGAGTGTATGCACCCCTTCATTGGCCTTACTACGTACGCATGTACGTGTGTTTGCGTAACATTATATTTATATGTATGTATACTACAATCTAAAATGTCACCAGCACACGGCGCTGCAGCTGCACAATATATTAAAATTACCATGTCATGCCAAATAATAACACTACTAAATAATAACTCTGAAAAGGTAAAGTATGTACATGACACACAGGAGAGACAGTAAATATTGTAAATACCTATATTTTTTACTAGTTTCCGCCCACAGTTTCACTCGCGTGGTATGTTGATAAAAAGTAGCCATGTGTTTATCCAGGATATTTTTATCTACATGCCAATTTACAATCAAATTGGTCCAGCCGTTTTGCGTGAAAGAATGACAAACATACATCCATACATTGTCACAAACTTTCACATTTAGGTATAATATTAATAGGAAGTAGAATGATACCCGAAGCTTAATATTTGGCGTCGCCCATGGATTGCTACGGACGCACATGGCTTCGTCACGCGCACAAGAAAGATTTACACCCGGTTTCTGAAAGGCTTGTCAACGCTAAAATTAACTAATCTCCTGTTAATCTGATTGGTTGACTGAATTATCAACAACCAATCGGATGACTTGACAAGAGATTAAATTGATTTTAACATTAATCGGCCTTTCGGAAACCGGGGTTAAGATGAAGGAATTTGACAATAAAACAAAAATTAATCATATAAGTCACTTTAAGCTCTCTCGATTACATAAAATTTTCTTTTGGTTTACAAAATTAAATAAATACCTATTTATACATGTTTTATCTATTACTTACACTTCATTAAGTTTTTATTATATGATATTTTTAACCTAATATTCATTAATTTGCCAGCTTTAATTTCATGAACTGCAATTCCTCGTTTAAACCATTATTTTACAAAACGAATAAACAAATTCTTAATTTAAAGTCGCTTTTGACATTTTTGTACCTACTTAACTGAATTTTGCATGGCGAATTATGTACAGTTGTCATAGCTAAATGATATGTAGGTAAGCAAAAGAATATTGGTTCAGGGGTGTGATTCTGTAAGACTTCATTCTAAACTTCGAATCTGAATCCGCTGTGAGTAGTAGTACACTAGCGCTACACTTGCGAGTTGAACTAAATTGACAGCAACATTTTGATAGATAAAGTATGAGATGACGTTAAAAGTGGCATTCTAAAATTTAATTACCCCGTCACTTCGACACTCACTTATCGCACTCGAACAAGATTCAAAATCAAACAAATTTTATAGAATCGACGTGCAGTACAGAGAAAGCGACCATTGTTTAGCTATTAAGTTGACTAATGGTTATAAAAGAATTTGGTTAATTAAAAACCATATGATTTAGTGTACCAATAGCTATTTTTTGAGATTTTCCCTTATTGCATCTGACCCACGTGGTCTATTAGCTCTTTGAGTTGCGCGCGGAACGCCCTGGTCTGGTTCTGGTCTGGCAGTAAGCTATTCTGTCTCGCCGTTGATCGTCGCTCGATCCCCAATGCTCGGAGTGTCCCTACTGTATTTAGTGCTGATAGCTCAGTACTGAATCAATATCTTTTCTCTTAATTGCATATCAAATAACTGTGCGACTATACGTTTATCTTCCTTATGAATAATCCTTAGTTTAAAATTATTTTATTACGAATTCTTATTTAAAATTATTATAATTACTTAATTTAAACAACTTTCTTCAGATTCCCTTGACCCCATACCATATCTACTACTAACCACTGGCTAGTATAATAAAAGAAGTTTTCTAGAAAAACGTAAATGACTAGTATGGGAAACTTCATTCCTGTGAACAGCTTTAGACCTGGATAAATATATTCGCCTTTCATCACGCTTTGTACACACCTGGAAAAAGAAAATAATTTTAGATCAATACTCAATTCCTTTAAACGATGAATACACATAGGTATCGGAAGAATAATAACTATCGTGAAACATATTTTTCGAACGTTTGTTCAACCAATGTTCAGTTTGAACATTTGTTCGAAATAACGACTAAGTCACGTGAATTAACTGAAAAAAGATCTACTAGCTTAGGACACTACGACGTGTGTCGATTGGTTTAATAAGAGTCCCGTTGTGAATTGAAACTAACCTGAGTAAAAGTCGTTATTCATAAAATATTTATCTATAATCGTATTTCTTTATTTCTCAAGGTGCTCATGCATTTCGTGAGTGAACCAGTGGCAATATGCGGTGCGCCAACGGCGGGTTACAGCTAGGTACTGATCTAGCCTATCCGCGCCTCTACTCAGCTTATCGACAGACTCAGTTATCAGCGGACGTTCGATGTCATTAATCATTTAGATATGCGGATGTACATACATATATGAGTTCATATTAATTATAGGAAAATCCTATATACACCATGAAAATTAAAATCATGAAAATAATATACAAGGTAATTTTCAAATTGCCGTCAATTTGTTAAAAGTACTTACACAACAGTATAAGCGATAAGGAAAGACGATAGTACTCCGATGTTCAGCACGTTACTCTTCGGCCTTTCTCTCTTCACCAGCACGAGGTCTGTAAGTACCACAATAAGGGATACGGTGTGCATGCAGTGCTGGGACCAGAAGGGAACCACTTTGTGAATACTCGGCGGTGCGATCAACTCTCGATGAGTATTCCATACTCGCCAGAACAATATGTCACCAAACTGGAAACAAAAGAATGCCTGTCTTAGTAGAAGGAAGAGGTGTTTTTTTTTTGGATTAGGCGACAACCAAGTTTCTGCCTGGCGGTAAGCAATCGGCGCCGCACATAGACACCCAGAGGAGTTAATAGTAGGTGACCGGCGTGTTGGGGATGAGAGTTTTGGAGATTTAGGTACCTACTAGGGAGGTATCAGGGGATGGTAAGGGTAAGGTAACAACGCTGCAGTTGTTTTGCGCCGGTTTTCTGTGAGGTCGAGGTATCACTCCGGCTCATTTATTACATATCAATATCAAAATAGCTATAGTAATTTTTCCTAAGTAACGTAAAAAAATAATTAGAACCTTATTTTAGTTAATATAATTAGGACTATTTACACAACTCGTTTTAGATAAACGATTCCGAAAAAACTAAGAAATCACTAGAACTGTAAAGTACTCAAATTTTTATTAACTAGTTATTAAGTGTGTAAGCATAATTGCAAAACTGAAGAATAAGGATAATACTTTTTTCCTCATTACGTAACGACTCAAATAATACAAGGTTAGGCAAGTAAGTATGAAGTCAAAATAACGACTTCATTAAAGTTTCACCCTTATATGGATGCGACTGTTATTTCATAGTAGGTAAGTTTTTATATGATTTATGGAATATTTTGTCACTTATGTTTACAAAGTATACAATGCAAGTTGTTAAGTTTGTTTATATTAGGCACATAATCAATTAAAAAAATATATACAAGCTTTTTGTCTCCAATATTTTTTTTAATAGGAATTTCACGTTAAACTTTAAAGGGACAAATATCTAAAACTTGAGCAATGTTGTGAAATATTGACTCTAATAAATACTATTTTGGGATAACCGCAAATTAAATGGCAACAAAAGGTTAAGAGATGGTAAGAACATATTATCTGCAGCAATAATGGTATCAAAATCCTGTAATAGTCTCAAAGCACCCACGCTTCACCACGCTTGAAGGTTTCAGATTGGCTCAATACGGTATTTGTGCCCACTTCAAGACGTACAGTTGCAAGCAACCGCATTAAAAATAATAAATTAAAAAATATTTTTTTATTGATATGCCAATTATAATTATAAATCGTATATTTAATAACGTATTTGAAAAAATATAAATTAAATAATAAAGTTTATAAATTTGACCTTAATTTTTGAACAATAAACTCATTTCTTATGTGATAGTAGGCGAAACTTATTTAATACGTCTCTGTTATTATTTTTATATATTGTAATTAGATACTAGACATCAAAAAAGTAATTAAAGACTTCTTTCGCAAGTTACTTCTTTTAAGTGTGGGATGACCATGCTAAGGGTGGGAGAGCCATGCTTCGGCACGAAAGGATCGGCTCGACCGGAGTGACACACAGAAAACAGGCGTAAAACAACCACAGCGTTGTGTTTTGCCGTGTGAGTGAGGTTACTGGAGGCCCTATCTTTCCCCTCCCCCAATTCCTAAATCTCCAAAGCCCTAATCCGTCAGCAACATACTCGTAGTAACTCCTCTGTTGTTGTGTCCATGGGCGGCGCTGATTGCTTACCATCAGGTAATGCGTCAGTTGGTTTGTTCTTGATCAGTGTGCCACCAAGTGACCAAGTAGTTTAAACACAAAATGAAATAATAACATAGTATTTTATTTTTACTTTTATAAGAATCTTCACAGTTAATTGCGTATTTTTGGGTCACTTCCAAACAAGCCAACCAAGGGTATGACATTGCAAGGTAATTGCAATCTGATGACGACTCTCAAAATCTTCCATATTTTTTGACAGATGTAAGGTCGGATTATTGAGATGATAAGTATTATTTATCGCTTTATTTACTTGGAATATTGGGCTAGTGTTAAACTTCTTTCCAGGAATTATTATAACTTTTTTAAGTAGTTACCTACTTTTATAAGTTGTTATATAGGCAAACCTTTTTCTTAAAATAAAATGTGTAATATAAAAATATTTACCGGGTACAGGAAGGAAATTTAGGTACAAAAATTAAAAATTGATTAAAAGTAATCAATTACGTAAGTTATATTTAGTAAACGTTTCCTTCGTGGAAGTAAATTTAATTTAAAAAAGGTGTTTTTACTTTTGTAAAATGTTGTAAAGATGAAAGATGATTCAGTAATTACTTATTAAGGAGTAACTTACAATTTATTTTAACACGCAAAGTAACATGCTTATGGTAGCAAGCTTGATGATTGACAAAATGTAATACCTACCTATATTTATTTATACAAAATAGATTGCTTGTATCTTGATCGAACGTGATAGACTAGAGCCCTGGTCTGTTCTTTCGACAAATGTAAAGTATTGCCATACAACGTGGCAATGTTGCTAGCTATCTGGGTTCTTTCCTCGTTGACATTGTTGTTTTGTTTATTATAAATTAAGTAGTTTTTATTGCCTTTGTTTATTATTAAGCACTGCATAAGTCTAACCACTGTGTGACTTGTGCAATTTTTAATAATAATCAATTTAAATAAAATATTTATTTTTTACTTTTGTACTTGACAGTACTAAAACTAGTCATCTATTAAGTAAACATGTTTACAGGACCGCTTAGTGGCAATTTGTATGTTGAAACTTACTGCAGTGGTCGGCAGCAGGATGCTTGTGAAGCACAGGCATCTAACTTGATTGAGAAGTTTGACGTGATTGCATTCATGCTCTCCTCTCAGTTCTCTCCAATCACAGTAGAAGCATATGGGAAAGTAGACCAATGTGAAGAGCTGAAACCAAATGTCATATTATATTTTGTTTAGCGGCCCATGTTGGCTTTGCACATGTGAAAACTAGTCTTTTTTTTCTATTTATAGCTTTTGTTACTTCAGAAAAATATAGCATTCCATTAGTGAAAGAACTTTTGATATCGGCTCAATACTTTTTAAGTTCATTTTATTTCTCTTTCAAAAATCAAAAAGGTCGAATGTCAAAACAAAACTTATTAAACTAGATATTATTATACAACTAAAACATATTTATAATTTTGAAACGTCGAACAAAGAAATATAAAAATCGTCTATCAATCTGTCCGTTACTGAAGCTATGTAGATACCTACTTGTTACAAAATGTAGATTCGAAAGTAGAAAAATGAGCAAGAAGCTCCATCGGTGCTCTTTTAAAATTAAAATATTAGAGTAGATAGTTCTTTGAACTTTACCTGAGAAGTCTGTATTGGTTTTTAAAGAGGTTTTATTAAAATGTGTTTCACCAGAATAACTACTTTTAGACTAATTTTTCACATTTTTTCCAACTTTTCCACAATCCTACATTACTATTTTCTCTCTGTAAATTAGGTGCGTTTACAAACATACGTTTCCCAGAACCCGAACCACAATGTCCGCTGTGCGATCCACTGATCACATAAATCATATAAATCAATGTTTTTTCGTGCAGAAATAGAAACCGCGGCAGCATGGCCGCCTGTTGCCCAGCCATGGCCTCAACTTTGATGTCTTATTAGTTCCAGAGGTAAGTACAAAGGAGTGAGGAGTGAGTGATACAAGTGAGTTGAGTCTATTACTAAACGAATGTAATTGCATAGGTAGTTTGGTACCAGGTATGACATACAACGACGCTATTTCTTGTCCTATCATTAATTATTTTGGAATGAATCTTACCCATCGTTGCTTGTAACTTAAATATAAACATAAAACGAAACTTTTAATATTTCAAATTAATTTCTTCCAGTTGAAACATTACATATTTATTGTTTGTTACATTCAAAGTTAGTCCACACGTGTCTTGTTCACGAATTCTTCGAGAATGTTCGTCGGAGGAAATATTTGAGATGGGGCAAAACAATATTTTTTGTTGATACGTACGCATGTCACGTAAACAATACCGGACGGGTTTTAATGGGATTTTAATCTTCAGAGTCCCGAGGAATAGAGATGTGGTTGATATTGTTTTTATGGTGGGTTTATTGAAATTGTTTTAGGTTCTTGAATTCATTGTGTTTATATTCCCGTGATGGGGTTTGAGCACTATATTAGAATTCGATTTAAAAACTAAATTTTTTTTTAGTGTCACCCTTCCATATGTTAATAAGGGTAAGATCAGAAAATCAATTAAATTAAAATCTTTCATGTCGTCACATTTCAAAGGCTTGAGAAGAAGTCTCACTCGGATAAGGTTTCAACAATAATCTTCACGCTTGCTCAAGACGGATTGGCAATTCCAAACTGTAAGTCCTGGTTTCTTCACGATGATTGCTTAAACCGTAGGTCTGTTCTTTCTTAAAACGCTATGAAAACACATAAATACCTCAGATAAAGTCACAGCGGTACTAGCCAAGTTTTGGCTCCGAATGCTTGAAAACTGAGCGACTTAACAGTTGGGACACTGCGACGATTAAATAAAAATCTTTATAAAACATGGATAATGGACAACAGTGGACACTGGGTTTATTTGAGTTTTTGCAACAATCATCTATTCACAGTAGTTAAAGTGACACCGTAAACGTCACAAACCAAGTATCAATTTGCAAAAATATAATGGTACTATCATTGTAACACGTACTTAGTGCAAATTCCCTTGTTTAAAGAGAAAATAATTACAGTAAAAACATCTGCTAGAAAACATTAAATTGATATTTGCATTGCCAAAACAAAGTTGTTAAATTATTGTACTAGGTAAGTACTACTAACTGATAATAAGAAAAAATAGTAAATAGCATAATGTGTTAAGGTAAAGAGTACTTATAAATAAGAGTAGGTATAATGAACCTACAATAAGACACCACTTTTCGACCAATTAATAGTTTGTCATATTTGGTAAGGCACACTTCTCAAAAAATGATTGCACACTCTATTAATGTCCATCCCCATTTTTTTTGTCAGGGGAAAATCATCAAATGACCTCTCACTCAGGGTTAGGCGAGAGAAAGTGTCAGACTCTTACTGACTAAAAACCCCCCGCTCCTTCTCCTGCTCTGGAAATGTCCATCCCCTGAGGTCAACCCTTGAGATCCATAAAGCCTCATTAATTTGACCTGGTGGTTCACGAATATCTTTTCTAGGGTGTACATACCCGGTTCTCGGTCTAATTCGGCTATCAGTTTAGGTGGATACTCTTATGAATGTACGTATGGATTTAGTCGGCTCAACTCCGACACGCCCTCTATTAACACCTGTGTGAGTTTAACCACGTGGAGGTTTTTACAAAAAAGACCTCATTTATTTAAAACAATTGCAAAACCGGCTGCACCGCTACATGCCGCGGGTTCTATTCCCGCACGGAACAACTTTTGGTGTAATCTACAAACTGTTGGTTCGGATCTGTGTGTAATGTGTATGTGAAATTGTATTTTTGTAACCGCACCAATGACATAGGAGAAGATTCTAATTCTTTAAAACAAAAAAGAAAACTGTTTTTACTTATTTACATTTCTTATGTTATCAAAATAAAATTTGGTAATTGTGAAACAAATAATAATATTAGCAGGTTTGTTGGTTCTTAAGCACCTTTATTGTAGACTTAGCTTAAACAAACCGTCGCCTAAAGGTCAGCGGTTACGTACACAAGACGGACCGTGCTCTAAAGTGTGCTTAGATAACTTTAGTATTGACTCTAAGCTTGGTTTAGAGGTAATTTGAGTCAACATCTTTTATTTCAATAGTGAATATTGTTACTGATCGACTTGTTTAGATATAGTTTGATTATTGACTTTTTTGATTATTTTTAATATTTTTTTTAAGTTTCTATTTCTATCCACAACCTGACCGACTTTTAACTAAAGTTTTTAGAGAACCGCAACTCGGGACCTCAAGATACAGGCCTAGCCTAGTTTGGGGACCGCCGCTCCTAAAAGCAATGTCCGCTAACAACACTAAGTTACAACAAACAATTGTACCTAATTATAACTAAACTTTAAGGCAAACTTATGTAACTGTGGATAAATAAAATTTTATTATTTATTTATTTATTTATTAGTTATAGATTTATTAAAAAAGTTTTGATTTTAAAAAGAGTGCGTTTCTCATCCTCATCACTACTGCTGCTCACTAGTTATTTCCAAATGCGTCAGAGGCAAGACACCTTCATCAATTTTTTTTTATTGGCTTTAAAAGACCTCGTCATATTATGGTATAAAAATAAATTTGAAAAGAATAATAATATTCTTTTTTTAATGTTGCCATTGGTAAATAATATATTTTCTAAACAACCTTATTAAACAGGATAATTGGCATAGGAAGAGTAGTTGGAATAGAATATGTGACGTCTGCAACATAAGTTAAACCGTTTAACTGAACCTTAGCAATTGTTTTCTGAACAAGATTGTAGCTAAGGAAAAGTTTTCATAATCATTAAATATCTTTAAGTATAGATTGGCATATAAAATCTGTCGACCGCCATTATTGTTACATTTCCTTTGTTAGTAGCTCCATAACAACAGCGAAGGGAACTTCGCCCACGGTCACTTGTCGTCCTGTTAATTCTACAAAGGAAAGAAGCCATTTTGTCTAGTAACTTATTAAATTAAGCCTTGTTCCCTGACATCATTTGCTGTTTGCGACGTCGAAGGCTTAAATCTGTAAAAACTTGGACATAAGGGGAGTAGAGACTTTCGCAACAGGGGCAGACAGAGCCAACTATAATCGCTTTTGTTCGGCAAAGTTTGTTGCCCAACTTTATTTTAATAGTTTAAATAATTATGTTAAGAATAAAAGCTTTTAGTTCCGTTTTTATACTTGTGTAAGTTCAATAATGGAATAAGGTTTATTAGTAACTAGCGATGCGCCCCGGCTTTGTTCGGATGCAATGCTGATACTAAATTTCGATCACTCATACTCAACAAGTCAAAATCCGTTGCGTAGTTTTTAAGCAAATGTTTAAAACTACGCAACGGATTTAACATACATTGATATAGCGACAGAAAGCGAAGTAGTTGTGTACTATTTTTGCACAATAACAAAACATTTAAGTAATCTTAAAAATAACAAAAAATTAAAATAGATTATACTTTTTAATTAATAAAGTAAATCTTAACGTATCTCTTTCAATATATATTACGTTAAATACTTAATATCAAAAAGCACGTGAAATGGTCAGTCCCGTTTGCAGAACAATTTGTTTACAAAAGTTGTTTCAGCATAAACAAATGCAATTCAACTTGTAATTTTACGTATCTATGACTATAACTCAAATATCATTTGCAAAGTTAGAACAGGTCGTCGTATTTATTATAATTATCTACTTATTTATTTTGTGAAAATTTATGACTATTGTTTTACTACGTGGTAAACGTAACTTTCAACGTCCTAATTTTAATGGTCGTTATTTTTATGTATTTTAGATTAATTTGATGATAATGATTAGAGTAAACATTTGTTTTTATACAAAAAATATCACACTAGGATTTTCTCCTATGTCGTGGGTGATTTAACCAAATTAAATTTACATACTTACATATTGGACCCAGACTTAAAATAATTTTATGGATCACAAAAAAAATTATTTCGTGTGGAATCGCGACCCATTGCACGACTTGTCCAGCCACCAAGTCAATTAATATGCAGATAATAACTTAGGCATATTGGAATTAACAGACTAAGCCCTATCCAAACTAATATTATAAATGCGAAAGTAACTCTGTCTGTATGTCTTTTCTTCACCCCCACACTACTAAATCTATGGGTGTGAAATTTAGTAGAGGCATAGTTTAGAACTCGAGAAAGGATATAGGATAGTTTTTTAACCAAAAATCTGCAGGAAGTCACTATTCCA